TGATTAAAATGAATAATTGATAATTTGAAATAGGAAAAAAGGTCCAAAGACAAAGGAGTGAAGGGAGGGGAAGGGGAAAGGAAAAGAGGGAAAGGTAAAACTATGAGAAAAGAAAAAAAAATGGAAATGAAATCTATGTAATGGGGAAGAGTGGAGGGGGTGAAGGGTGCACAGGTAATGGGGAGAAAAATATGAACCAAGATACATCATGTACAGATACAAACACCCAATGATAAATGTAAACGAATTGTATACCTAAAGTGTACCAATAAAATGTACCAATAAAATTAATTTTTAAAAAAAGAATATCAAAAAAAAAAAGAATATCAATTCAAAAAGCAAGTCAGGTGCATGGTGCATACCTATAGTCCCAGCTACCCAGGAGGCTGAGACAGAAGGATTGCTTGAACCCATGAGTTTGAGGCCAGCTTGGGCGACATGGTGAGATCATGTACAAATACCAAAGGAATTTAGAAGGCAAATAGCCCTGTAGTATTATTATAAAAGTAATTTTGACTTCATAGGTCCCCCCAAAGTGTCTCAAGAACCCCCAAGCATCTCTGAACACAAAGCACTTTGAGAAGCATTGATGTAGACCAAACTTTGAGTTTTCTGGAGTCTCCTCAAGGGCCACCAGCTTGCATTTCTCAAGAGAGACCAGTGGACAGGCTGTGATTTCCCATCCTTCTCCCATTGGAGAAATACACTTTAAAATTTTTTTCTTAATATTTTATATACATTCACATGCCACATGATGATGTCTCCCATCAACATCATATATGCAATGGAGGTCACATAAGATTGTATCACCTGGTGATGCTGTGCTCCTCTTTGTGTACATATACTCTACGATTGTCACACAACCACAAAGTCCCCCAAGGAGACATCACTCAGAATGTACGCAGCACACACATTTGAATTCCGGAGCCATCTTCCTTTGAACATGGAATTCCATAGCAAAAAAAAAAAAAGCAGTTTTTAAACCACTGCTAGAATGTGTGTTGTGTGGCACAGTGCATAACAGAGAAAGGAAACCTAAGAATTAGAAAAATATGGTCTTCTTTTCTAAAAGAGGGAAATGTTAAAAAAAAAAAAAAAGAGGGAAATGTTTCCATTTAGGATCTATATTTTAGTTGTAAGTATAATATACATGTTTTTCTTACAAAAATCTGAAAAGTTTTCAAGTGAAGAAAAATTCATAAAATATATATTAGCAAAGAATATATATATATTACAACATGTGGCATATTACAGAAATATTCTGTTGTGACTGTTTTATAAGTAAGTGTATTTAGTCAGAAACCACTCACCTGAAGCCCTGGCACTAAGCAAGGCTCAGCCTAATGCTGAGGGTCAAATCCACAGCCCGCACATGCTAAGCAAGTATTCTACAATTGCACCCACACGCGCCCTCTACTTTTTAAAACATCAGTGCATTTGTTTGGGAGGTTAACAAACCAGTAGAGGGATAACCAGAAGGGGTGGTGCCTGCAGCCCTCTTGGGGGTGCTGGGTGGACCTCAGTGCTCTGCTGTGGCAGTTTTAAGAGAGGGAGCTGTCTCCTTTCAGGAAGCCTAGAAACTGCAATCTTTGGGTCATGCACTGAGACACTAAATTACAGGACAGACTCCAAGGGCCCTAGGCTTTGGTACCCAGAAGTTTCAAGCAAGCCTCATAATGACTCCTGCTTAGTATAAAGAAAATAGAGTTATGAACATGAAAATGGTTGGGGACTAAAAATGCTAATGATTAGGTAAGCCAGGTTATTTTTCAGCTTTTTCTTAAAGAACACACAAACAGAACTTTACACATAAGTCTAGCAGCATCTAGAACCAGAAATGGGCCATTCCTAATCCTCCGTCTGTCCCCTCAAAGTCCCTTCCCCCTGGGAAGTTGTTCTTTGGCTTTTCCGAGCACAGGTTGCTTTTGCTGCTTCTGTGCTTTGCACTAGCAGAAGCGTGCAGGGTACATTCATTCATGCCTGCCTCCTTCTACTCCACACTGAGATTCAACCAGACTGCAGAAGTGCATACAGGCCAGTCCTTCTCGGCACTACACACCACTCACCACATAGTAGGAATGTCTTGGATTGTGCGCCCGTTCTGCTGTTGAGGAAGCTGAGTCATTTCTTATGGAGCCTTTTGTCTATAGAAAAGATGAGAAATTCTCTCTTATGGACAAGGAGTGTTCACAGATGAAGTCACCGTCCCCTTTCCACCTTAAACAGGTCTCACCAAAGGAATTTTTTGTTTTCTTTCTATTCAGTATGAGAAAAGTGACCTGACTATAAATTTAGCATTTGTAATTTCTACCAAGAGTTAAGAAAGGAAAAGGGGTTAATGTTGACAACTGGCTCTAGTGGACTCTCTTCCTAATTCCAAAGAAACTGATCTGGCTCTTGGTGGTGATCATATATCAAAGGAAAGGCTCTGTGACAGTGTCCCGCACTCAGGGGTGCTAATCGGTGTTTGGTCCTGGCAGACAGAGCAGGTGGTGGGTGGGAGGGGAAACAGCACTCAAACAGGATCCAAAACAGGGGAGAGGCCCCTGAAATGACCACTTTAGAAAATAAAATGATGTTTACGCGCAGAACAACACAATTTCTGATTCGCACATCCCACCTCTGACATTAATCAGAGCCTTCACCCATGTGCTCTATTCTATGTCATCTTTTCCACCCCTAGTGTAGTTTACAGATTTTCTTACTTTGAAGTAGAAGGGGGGTAAAAAAAGAAAGAACTGTCGCTGCCCTAAAAGGAATGAGGAAGTGAGCTGTGCAGTGTTTGGCCCGCTCTGTCTGTGTGACGGCCCATGATGGTCTTTCCGGTCCCAGTAATATTCTGAATTTCCACCTGCCCGCCCCAGCGGCTTAGAATGCACAGCACATGAAGTTAAAGCTGCTCAGTCTCCCTCTCTCTGCCCGTGGGTCAGTAGGAGCAGAGTGTCATGCTGTGTCTGCTGCTACCCCCAGTTCACCAGAGATAGAGGAACTCTGGCTAGAGACTCTCCAAGGGTAAGTGCTACAGATTAACAGCACTAGAAAATCCGCAGCTGAAAACAGCTGTGTCAAGGAATATGCGGCAGTGTTAGACTCTGAACGCAGAATGCTTGACTTCAACACGAAGGCTGCACTTTTTTAAATGTAGGAATTCTGTAAATATTATCTCTGGTTTAAGTTTCTATCGTGGGACTAAACAGTATCATGGGAGTACATTTTTTTCTTTCTTGAGGTCAGTGAAAGAAATCTATGCAGAGAACTTAATGCAGCACTTGTGAGCACTTCAAAGAATTGTTAGTTGTTATTGCGAATGATATTCAGATTATCTCTTAAATGGGAATGTAATAATGAATAAGAAAGTTAGGATGGTAAAGACATCTAGCTTAAAGCATTTAGAAATTAAGTGTGTCTAGTTGTTGTTCTTAATAGCATATGACATTTGGTAACAGATTGATTTTAAAACTTTTCTGATAGTGTTTTGGTAAAGTGATACCAAAATTGGCCCACTCATTCTGTTGGCTGATTACTCCATCTCATAACTCTTTCCTGTCTGCTTTATTATAGACGGAGTCAGAGCCCCGCAGGATTGAGACTCAGCCTTGGATAGGCAGCCCCAACTCCAATGAAGTTGATAAGCAGCTTCGATGCTGTATGTGCCCTTTTACACTTATATTCATTCATATTTTCTAGGGGCAAGAACCAAAGACATTTACTTAATTTTATTTATTTTTTCCTCTTTTAGCCCAAAACACTAAATGCCAATAATATGGAGTCTTTGATCAAATGTCAATCAGAGGTAAGAAAGCAGTTTTTAAAACTTTTTTTTTGCATTGTGAGAAAACGGAAAGCTTTCTGTTTTAACTGAATGTTATTTGGCTTAATTGTCAGAGTAGAAAATTAACATCATAAATGTAGTATATTAAGATGAATAAAATGTGTATGTTTTTCAAAGAAATAGTATGTGTGTGTGTGTTTTATAAAGAAAGTCTGGATAGGTTTTTGTGATCATTTTAACTAAAATAAATATATTTTTAGGGTGACATCAAGGAACATCCCCTCTTGGCATCTTGTGAGAATAAAGACAATATCTGCCAGCTAATTGGTGAGTTTTGAAAACATACTGATCCTTTTTGTAAGTGCTAATAACCAGTGTTCTCAGTTTGCAGAACCACAGTGCTTTTACTCTACTAGGAATTTGTTTCTATGTTCTGCTGCAGACCACAGAGCATTAACACTTAACTGGCAGGTGTGCTCCTGCTTGCTAGCACAAGGGAGCACTGTCAGAGGAAAGACCTTGTTACAGCCAGTTCCCCACTCAGCCCACTTCTAGTGGACTGCACGATCTCCTGGCCATCTATGCTTTGCTAATGAAAGCATAATACACAGTGCCTTCTCCATTTTCTTCCTTCTCTGATGGAGACTGCATCTAAGAACCCACAAAGCAATTGTTGCTGATCTCAAATCTCAAAGAAGCTACCATTTGCCCTTACATTTTTCATAATATATTTCATTATACATAACCGTGACCCAATGCTCCTGGGGTATCAAGACAGGCCGCTTCACTCTTATTCTTCTTCCACTTGCTAGTATAAATGTGTAGGAGCATAGGCCAATCATTTAGAAAGCATAGCTTTTATAATTAGAGAAAAAATAAAGGAAAGAAGGGAGGGAGCAGAAACTCTTGAATGCAATCCCTATTGCAGACATGTCGCCTGGGTTTTAGAAGAACAAACTACTTGGTAATAGGTTACTGATAATTCCAAATTGTTACGTCCAGGATGCAGCCTTCCTGCAGCAATCTGACCCCTGTCCTTTAAGAGCAGCAGGGAAAAAGCAGGGGACTGCAGGTGTATGAGTCACTTAGCTCCCTCTAGTGGCCGCCTAGAGCTAGCGCGTTGCAAACAGTTGGTGGCCCGCCCTGCTGAGAGCCTGCAAAGGGATCTTGAGCAAGTCACTTCCTCTCTATAAACTTTCATTTTTGTCACCAATCAAAGGAAGAAATTAAAATAATCCATTTAACCAGAAATGCCCCCTGTAGTTATTAAGGCCAATGTGTTAAGATGGTTATTTTTTTTTACCCTCGCAGTTGGGTTTTATTATTTTCTGCAGTAAATAGCTAGTGAAGAGAAAAACAGGAAAGGTGTGGCCTTTGAGGAACCCCAGGGTTGATGTTGAGGGGCTGGTTGCCCTGATAACAGTGTGGTTGTTTTGGGGTTGATTTTTCTAGATCAGGAGTCATGCCTTTTGCTTTCTTGGTTTTTCAAAATTATTTCTCCCACAGGGTATACCATAGATGACATAATGTGACCAGTGACACCATTTTCTTATGTGAATCTTTGCTTAGTGCCATTATGGTCTGACTTTTCTCTTTCCCTTATTTTCTTGGCTGTAGAAGTTAAGAAGAGAAAGATAGGGCGGCCCTGGCCCTTTCTCACGAGAAAGCTCTCCCCTTCATCAGATTTCTCTGGGGCTTTGGAGCCCGAGTTGAAAGTGCCACTGTTTGATCAGCCTTTGTCAGCAATCTGCAGTGAGGACGGCACACTGCCCAGTCCCATTCAGGTAAGTGTGCACCTGCTCATGAGCCTACTTCACTTTCTTATTGGAGGTAAAAGAAAACAATCCTTGGGAAATCTGAATGTGATTCTCATACTAAACTCACTGGGGCTGATCTTGTAAGTCTTCTACTCTTACAAATGATGTTCTCACATCCAAGTGCAGTCAGGAGAATATCTACCTGCTGACGTTCTAGAAATTAGGTTATTTGTCAATGAGCTGAGAGTGATGGTTCCTCCCTCATTGCTCTGACTCTACAGAGGTAAGAAGGCTGAAAGTTAGAGGTTTAGTATAGTGTTTACATGGAAATATTTGAAAGGATTTGTGACTATTTGTAACTTTAGAATATACAGAATTAGAACTTTCACAGTTTACCTCTTCCTAGCAACACGGCAGGGTGAAGGGATACAGTTGATAATGATTAGATTGGAAGCCAATAGTCTCAATACTCTTCTTTAAACCCTTTTAATATGCTGGGCATGGTGGTGCATACCTATAATCCCACCACTCTGGGAAGCTGAGACAGAAGGATTGCAAGTTTGAGCCCAGCCTGGGCAATTTAGCAACTTACCAGGACCTTATCTCAAAATTTTTAAAAAAAATTTTTTAAAGGCTGAGGATGTAGCTCAGTGTGCCAGGAAAAAAAAAAAAAACTGTTTCAATATAACAAAGAGAACTAGCTTTTATGGGGAAGATGTTTGATGACAGATGAAGTTAGGAACTGTTCATGTACATTATTTTAATTCTCTTTCTCCAGGCTACATATAGATTTTCATGTTTTTATTTCAAAAAAAGCTATGTAGGTGTCTCCAAGCAATGGATCACCATTCCTGTTCTTATATCTGTTCCCACAGGACATCCTCACTATTCTCTGCCTTAAAGGCCCCTCAACCGAAGGAATATTCAGGAAAGCAGCCAGTGAGAAAGCCCGAAAAGAGCTGAAGGAGGAGCTGAACTGTGGGGACCCAGTGGACCTGGAGAGGCTCCCGGTGCACCTGCTGGCCGTGGCCCTGAAGGTGAGCCTGCGAGTGTGACACAGCTGCCAACGGGCTCTCACACACTCTTTCTCGGGAACAAGGAGTGGGTTCCTCTCCCTGCAAGCCAGCATCAGCTCATCTTGGAGTTTAAATTTTCTTTTAGTTGAACCTTTAAGTTATTTGTAGAAGCACTTCTGTTTCAGTGATCCTAGATTTCAACAAAGTTCTTCCAAAAATTTGATGAGAAAAGGCAATTTGATTGTCTCCTGGTCAAGTCGATAGCCCTAAATCTGTTTCCCCCAGACTTCACTCACCTGGGAATGGTGACTCTTACTCTGCCTGTTGCCAGGAAGTTCCTGAAACGCAGTGCAAGTCTGAAGGAGGTCCCCTCAGACTGACCAAAGGACAGGGCAGTCCATGGCAGGGCAGACGTGAGAACAGTGAGAGGGAGCAAAAGCAAAGGGAAAGCCAGGCACAGGCACAGGATGAGATGAAGCAAGCCAACACTCCCCTTTCCTCCTTCAGGACTTCCTCAGAAGCATCCCCCTCAAGCTACTCTCATGTGACCTCTTTGAGGAGTGGATGGGCGCCCTGGAGAAGCGGGATGAAGAGGACAGAATTGAGGCCCTGAAGCAGTAAGTCCTCAAGTCATTTCAGGAGACCTGGCCTGCATCTCCATCTTTTCCTCCTTTGCAAAACTGTCAGAGCGCTTTTTGATTCATGTGTCCCAGAAATGGTGACATATAGGGCATCTATGTGAACTGCTCATCCACTCCCAGAATAAAAACTAGAAGATGCCCTGGAGGTTTAAAAACAGTTTTAGCCACAAAAAAGGGCACTTCTTCAAAAATGAGAAAGTGAGTTTTAATACTCACAAATCCCAAGAGATGGTGGAAGGTTGTGGGGAGGGCTAAAAATACAAGGAGTTCAAAAAGGCTTGAAAAACACAATCATACCTGAACACTTTCACACAGGTGAACCAGCAGGGTGTGGGAATGTTAATTATCCTTAACCTATACTGTTTGGTGTCATGCAAGGCAACAATTCTCTCATAAAATATCCCCTATTGCAATTTGGAAGGAATTATTTTGTTCATAAAATTCCATAGCATATTCTTTATTGTTATAAACAAATGAAGACTACATAAGAACAAATTCCAGTGAATAACAGTAATTACATATGTAAATGAAATTGACCTATTAGTGACTAGTGAATCCTAAATTCGTAACTTTAAAATGCCAGTGCTTTTGCCACATCCTAAGAAAATCTGTCTATATAATTGTCCCCCATGGCTAAATATTTTAAGTGAAATATTTGTAGAAGTGAAGACAACAGTGTCCTCTCCCCCCCAAAAAAATCCTAAAATTATTACAATAAGTTTCTACCTACATTCTTCTACAGCAATAATTCCAAGAAATGAAAAAGATCCATTACTATATTGGAGTGCCCATTTAATTTTCTGAGAAAATGAGACTTTTAAAAACTCAAATTAGCCAGGAGTGGTGGTGCATGCCTGCAATACCAGCACTTGGGAGGCAGAGGCAGGAGGATGGCCGTGAGTTCGATGCCAGCCTGATTACACAGCAAACTCAAGGACTGCCTGAACTACATAGCGAGACCCTGTCTCAAAAAATTAATAAATACTCGAATTTATTATCATTAGTAACAATGTTGGCATTTAAGTGCTACCTTGACCATATTTGTGAACATGCCTTTAAACACTTATTTATTCTCTGTAAAAATTTCTCAGAGTGGCAAAAAAAATAGGTCATGATTATTTGGTGATCACAGTTCAAAAAAAGGCAAGAAATAGGTTGTAGTCTTCAAAATAGAATTTTTGCAAGTTAAATGACTACTCAATAAAATGACTTTCAAAATGTAAAGGCAACTTCTGGTGTTTGATTCAAGCTCTGATTTATACTTCAAGATTCACATAACTAAGAAAAGGTGGTGTTTTTGGTGTCCCAGGTATAAGGACCTTGTGGCTGACCAGTGTCATTCTGTGTCAGTGGCCACTGGAAGTGTCTAAATGATATTTCACATAGTTGTGAAAATGCTTCTTCCTCATTTTAAAGGAAGTCTGGTTTTGGCAGAAACTTCCAGCAGGCTCTGTGCAAGCTAGATTGGCTATTGCTCCCCTCAAAACTGAGATCTCTTCCCTTTATTCCAGGGTTGTAGGTCAGCTCCCCCAGCCCAACCTCCTGCTGCTCAAACACTTGGTTTCCGTGCTGCACCTGATCAGCAAGAACTCTGAGATCAACAAGATGGACTCCAGCAACCTGGCCATCTGCATTGGCCCCAACATGCTCACCCTACAGAATGACCAGAACTTGTCATTTGAGGCACAGAAAGACTTGAACAATAAGGTTTGTTCTGTTTATTTATGAAAAACTCTCAATTTATGATTTCATCATCTGTTTGCAAAAGCCCAAGCAATGAAATATTTCTGAATTTCTCAAAATGACTCATAGTAGCAGGGAAAATCTGAAATACAGACTATTTTTGTCATAGTTCCACTTTCTTAGATAATGCATTTGATGAACCAGAACAAATCTGTGTATTCTATCATCCTAGAAGACATGTTTTCACATCATTACTTCCCTGGATAGAAAAGCGTATTTTCCCCTTCTGTGCATTACTTTCTGCCAATCCAGCAATCAAAATGGAAAACAGTTTCCTTCAATGAAAAAGTCAGTTACTATCTAACTTTAATATATTTTTGTATCAAACTTCTATATGCTATTTTCAGACACATAAAAATCTCCAGTTCTCTTGGAACCTCCTGAATAGTTGACCCCCAATATGTCCTCATTCTTTGCCCCTGCCTAAAAAGATGTCCTTAAGCTGACAACCTGCTTATTTTTCCTCATAGGTGAAGACATTGGTGGAATTTCTCATTGACAACTGCTTTGAAATATTTGGGGAGAATATTCCATCTCATTCCAGCACCCGCATTGCTTCTGATGACTCCCTGGAACACACTGACAGTTCAGGTACATAACGTGCTGTCATTTGATTACATGATTCTGGAGAGAAGTTCCTGCCGTCAGCCAGTCCATGCTGGTAACGTAAAGCATCCCTGATGTTTGACATAGAAGCCACCCTCACCATCACCAAGCCAAACTAGACTCTGTAAGGAAGTTGCTGAACATAAAAACTTGGCCCTCAAATTTTCCCAAAGCACTTCCTCAGACTGTGGACACTTGTTCAATGTCAGTCTAGAACTTTCCCCTTCTTACTCTAAATCCACAAATAACTGCTAATTACTACGGAACCATAGCTAGAGAGTTAGGGTAAGAAGTCTTTGTTTCTAAGTAGTGGAATATGAGTCCATTAAAATGGAAGTGGATTCAATAAAAGAGCCTACAAAAAATCAATTTTAAGATCTAAAAACCATAAATTTTCAAGGAATATTGCCCTTCTCCTCCTCTTCTTCCTCCTCTTCCTCTTTCACTTCCTTCTCCTCTATCTCTCCCTCCATTTTTTACCTCCTCCATCCCTCATTCCTTTCCTTTTTCTACTTTCTTCTCATCTCAAGATAAATTTGGAAAGAAATAAAATTTAATGTGGAAAATTTATTATTATATCAAGCCCAATGGGGTCCCACTAAATCACCTGGTGTCATAATTGGCGTGAATAGGATGACCTGTAATGTTATCGCTAAAGAAACAACAAAAAGTTCAACTGTTTCTTAATTTTTCCTAGATGTGTCAACCCTGCAGAATGACTCAGCCTATGACAGCAATGATCCAGATGTTGAACCCACCAGTGCCCACAACTCTCCCAGCAGGCAACCCCAGGTAACCCTCACTGTGGCTGCTGGTTTGGACAAGAATGGGCAACAGGGCACCTGTGAGTTAAGCCGGCAGCCCATTGTTAGCACAGTAGCCAGGCTGAAAAGCTCCCTCAGCCAGCGGGCAGACAGGAGATTCTCAGAACCCAGCAGGCCACCCTCACAAGAGTGCCTTGAGGGCCGGATGACAAACCAAAAACTAACGAGAAGTGAGGACAACTTCACCATGCCCCAGGCAGGCTCTTGTTTTGAACATGAGGAAGCTGGAGACCCATTTCCAGAGGAGGTGTTCTCTGCAGTAGGAGGCAAAACCAAGAGACCAGCAGACCTGAGGATCAAGAACCTGACGCAGGGTTTGGCACTGCCACGGGGAGTGGTACCCAAAGCCCTTTCCAGTGGCTCCCTGGATGGGTCTTCTGACTGCTCACCTGTGAATTCTCCTTCCTATCCCAAAAGAAATTTCTTTACCAGACATCAGTCTTTCACCACAAAGACTGACAAAAGCAAATCAAACCGAGAAATTAAAAAACATTCCATGTCATTCTCTTTTGCCTCTCACAAAAATGTACTGCCCAAAGCACCCAGCTTTGGATCTGGGAAATCGAAAGACCTTACCAGAGACCAGGTCAAGAAGAGTCTGAGGAAAGAAAGCCAGCTAGCTGGCCGGATTGTCCAGGAAAATGGGTCTGACCTTCACAGCCAAACAGCTCTAGGCTTCAGCTTGCCATCCAGGGCCCTCTCAGGTGACGATGTGTTCCAGCGAGTTGATGGCATGAGCCCTGGAAGCCCACCATCTTATGAGGAGGCCATTCAGTGCCAGGCATTGGGACTCAGGGCCTATAGTGGCCAGACAGTCGGAAGTATGAGGGCAAGAATGCTCAGCCAGGACTCCATACTGTCATCTCTTCTGCCTTCTTACCATGGAGGGGACTCAAGGAGCAGCTGCAGTGTGGAGACACTTAGTGGACACAGACTGTCTGCCATGGCTGAGTACTGGAGACAGAGCAGTACTGTCAGTGCCTCTGTGGAGGCTCAAGGGCATGTGACTGTACCAGGGAGACCTGGACCTCGGCTGAGGACCATGTCGGAGTCGCTTCAGAAGGATAAGCAGGACTATCTCGGGCAACGGTGTAGCCAGCCAATCTTTGAGGCTGACCAACTCCAATATGTTAAAGAATCCTACATTTAGGAAGGGATACACCATGACTAATTGTGGTGTCTCTGTATATACATGACTGTATAAAGACCTGTGTGTAGATTATATTTTCAAAAAAGTCATGAATAAGCTAGTTTCCAACATTGTAAAGAGTCCTACTCCATAAGGATAGCTACATGGTGTGCATCAGGCAGTGTCTGTGCATACCTGGATTTGTGCAATACTTAGCAAATGTAAAAAGTGTATTATACACCAGATGTTCGGTGTGAAGGTGTCTGCATAAATTCCCACATACGTTTGTGTACTTGTGCACTTGTGGTACATTGCTGTTCTTTGGTCCCAGGGGCATTTGTCCCATTGGCTACTGTTTAAAAATCATCTTTGCTCTTTTTAATGTTGCTTTGAATATCACGTCAATTTTCACATTTTCTACAAATTCCATTAAAGAGAAAATGTTTAAATCTCTGGTATAAGTTTGCCCTACTAAACAAGCTTGAGGTAACTATATACTGTAGAAGAAAGAAATAGACTGTAAGAAATAGAGTTCAGTGTTTGGGGTTGTCAATGGCATTAGGAAGAGAAAACTAATAACAAAATTATGAAAAGTACTTAGGTATGTCCTTTCAAACATATAATTAAAGTTGGAAATGCATTACATCAATATTAATTCATTTAGCGCACTTTGAGTTTCTATGTAATTCAATGGTGTCTTATGCTATAGCATAGAGGTAAATGATTTTATGTATTTTGGAAGTCATATATAAAACTTCAATGTAATTTCACTACAATAAATTGCCTTATTTGAAAGTAAAAATGTTCATTCCTTATTGACATGCTACCATCTTTTCCTCACTTAATAGAAATCCGCCAGGAAAATTAATCACACATGGGTTCACTCAACAAACATTTATTGACTATATATGCATCATTCCAGACTAATAAGCAAGCCTAGAAATCTTGTGTTTAGGAAGACACAGTCCCTATTTTCTGGGGGTTTGCAAAACCATAAAGAAGTGCTTACTTTAAGCCACTTTTTCAGCAAGCAGTCATTTGGAGGTGAGAAAAATTTAGTATGCCAATACAAAATAATATAGTAAATGTAATATTTCCCATTTCTAGTGAATTAGGCTGGTCAGTACTTTTATGCATACATATTTTTCTTCATTTAATGATGTTCAATTGGCTTAATTATTAGCAATTATAATGATAAAATGTTGATGGTATATTAGAATTTTACTGACCACCGATTAATATACTTATCCAATATCTTAGAATTGGAGAAGGACTTCAATTTTCCTTTTTTTAAATTTTTTTCACAAAACACGGCTTCTGACCTGTTACAAAAATATTTTTGTATTAGCTAGCTACCAGATGATGAAGACCTACTCTTTTCCATTTATTAATAATGTTGTACAAAAAAATAAGAACCAAGATACATCATGTAAAGGTACAAGATCCCACTGATGAATGTAACTGTATTATATACCTAAAATGTACCAATAAACTTAATCAAAAAAAGAATCACTCATAGAAAATAATAATAATAATAATAATGTACAAACTTAGCCATTCTTTATAAACCAGATTGCTCATGAAAGCGTGCTTAGACCTGATACTAAAAATACTCTATTAAGCATCAATAATACATAAATTTCAAGGAATAAATCCTCTCCTTCTGCCTGCTAGATGAAGAAAAACAATTCCTTTTCAGAGTTGAGCACTAATAGAGATACAATTTTAGCATCTACTTATGCACCAAGCACTGTGCTAAGTTCTCACTGGACATCATCTGCCCTCTATGTGTGTTTCCAAAGTCCCCCTTCTTATATGGACACTGGCTACAGTGGATTAGGGCCCACACTAATGACCTCATTAAAGACCCTATTTCCATATATAGTAACATCCTAAGGCACTGGGAATTTTGGTGGTGATGATGGTTGTGGATCCAATACATCCCGTAACACCAAGTTTTGCAAACTAGCATCTAATGATACTTTATTACACCAAAAATTTTTAATATTTTACCATAAGCACAAGGATGTCTTCCAGTGAGATTTGGATGGTGTTACCATAATGCTTTTGACCAGGATCCAAGAACATCAGAGTTCTATCATCCAAAGATGTCCTAAGGGCCTGTACAGCGACAAATGGGATAATCACAAATGTGTCTGGTGCTCCAATGCAAAGTGCCTGATAATATCAGGTTGAAAGTCAAGACCCACACCAAGACTTAAACCTAAATCCAGGTTGATTTTCTCTCCTCCTATAAAGAGAGAAAGAGCTGTGTTGACACAATGCACAATGATTACCTACAGTGACTCACTCTGCCCTTTCCCCAGAACTACCCTGGACTGAAAGAAATCAAAGCTTGACATAGAAATATTGGCTTGGGGAAGTTAACCAAAGCTAGGTTTATCTCCAACCACCTCAAAGCTCAAATCCAACAAAAACTGCAGTCGCTCTGCCCTGGGTCCTACAGGAGTTAAGTAGCAGCGAGGATTCACAATACTAATAAGTCAAACAGTAATGGCCACAGTTCTTCTAGAGATGGCCAGAGATGACAATGTCCAGAGTGCTGTTATAAATGTTGTTTATTCTAATGCATGATTAAAAGAATAAAGAGATGAATATTCCTGACTGTGATCTCCTGGGAAGAACCATCAGTACATACTTCCCTCCTACAGGGCTAAGCACACAGAAACCCACATGAGATGAGATCCTGCATAGCTGGAGTTCTTTTGGAATTGAATTACATAATCTTAACTCTTCATCTGCAAAAAGAGAGTTACTGAGGAGTCAGAAGTATATACGTTTCTGCCGGAGAGTGAATCACTTTCTAGCAATATTTCAAATATGGATTGAGACCCTGCCTTTTGTCCACTCTAGAATAAAAATTAAATATAAGTGAAAAAAAATTGATGGAAAGAAGTGCTACTCTTCTCCTACTGCAGGCCACAAAGAGGAAGGCATGGTGATACAAGCAAAGCTTCAGATGCAAAATCTTGCCAGAGAAAGAAAATGCAGAATGTCAACATTTCTGTGGGACAAGAAAGACATGTTGACACAGAGTCTGTGACCTGCATTCACAGAACCTGAGTTTTTGAACCCCCCAAAATCTGCTCCCATGAACAAGGCACTGGACCTGTCAAGCAGCAGTTTCTCCATCTCTGAAATGAAGAAATAATAACATGCATCCATTGTGGAATGGATATAACAGACAATCCAGACACGGGGCTTACATAAGAAAGAGGTACGTGCTCTCTATTGAATGAAAAGCAGGCAGCTGGACATGGTGATGCATGTCTGTAATCCCAGCACCTGAGAGGCTGAGGCAGGAGGATCAACATGTGTTTGAGGCCATAGTGAATTCAAGACCAGCCTGAACTACACAGTGAGACCTTGTCTCAAAAAACTAAACCAAAGAAAAGAAAGACAGGTAGACTGGGAGTCCAGAGCTTCAGTGGAGACTCCATGACAGCCTCAGGGCCCAGGTTCCTTCAGGCTCAGAGATAGTTTCAGGTTATTTCCCAGGTTATATTGGCCCTCACCCTGACTGATTCATGGTGCAAAGATAATAGCTATGTGATTGCTGGTTATTATCAAGCTAATGAACGAGTAAAGGATGCCAGTCCCAACCAGGTCACAGAGAAGGTTGCTTCCAGAATCGCCGAGGGCTTCGTGGACACCGTGCTCATCATGGTGGACAACACCAAGTTCATGATGGACTGCGGCAAGCCCACAATCCACGTGTATGAGCACCATGAGAACAGGTGGCGGTGCAGAGACCCACACCATGACTACTGTGAAGACTGGCTGGAGGCCCAGAGGATCTCGGCATCGCTCCTGGACAGCAGGTCCTACGAGACGCTGGTGGATTTCGACAACCACCTGGATGACATTCGGAATGACTGGACAAACCCGGAGACCAACAAGGCCATCCTGCACCTGTGCTAGGGCCACAGAGCTGGCTACCGGGCATTGCCTGTGTTCCGCAGAGCGAGAACACCGTAGCCTGGTGCAGAGCCACAGCCACCTATGCCAGGTCTGGGCAGGGCACCTGTCGCCTCGACGCCACGCGGGCTGAGGGAGAGTGTGCAGCCCACTCTGCGAGTTCTCTCGCAGTCATGCGTTGCTGTCAGCTTCCAGATCAGCTCTTTCTGCTTGTCCAAGATTGTTCTATTAAAGTTTTAACTAACCTTTTATAATCTGGGGAGAATACTTTTTAAGGCTTATAAACTATTAAAAACAAAGCCCACGTCTTAAAAAAAAAAAAAAAAAAAGGCTTCAGGTTATACTGTTTGTTATGTTATTTGTTTCCACAAAGTAGTTAAATACCCTGTGCAGATTCAGATTCACAGAGAAAAATAAGTTTAATTTCTCAATGGGACATTTTAGGACTCAAGGACAAGTGCTTTCAGAAACAGAACTTACATAATTCAAGCCCTTAATGTACACTTCAGTATTAGAAAGTGTGAAGATGAAATTATTTAACTTTGTTTAAACAGCAAAGGCTGGTGAACTTGTGATAGAACAGGAGCTCATGTCTTAAATTGTCTTTAATTCTTTTTTTATAGTGAAATCTTAACACTAATGTTAAACATAATGTTACAACAGGTTAGCACGTAATTTTTAAATGAGAAAATGCCCTTTTGGAGAAAAATATAAAACTTCAACCTAGTTTTTATGCCCAAGAAAAACTATAGAAATAAATATAGAATATACGTGAAATAAAAATACTAAAAATTGTAAGCTGGAATGTTGACAAATTTATATGCTAATTCTAAAAGCATTAGCTTAACACATTTTGTACACTGTCTGATTCTCCTTAAATTCTGTACATCATTTAGTCTAGTTACATAATGTAGTTTCCGTTACATAATGTAGTTTCCTTTACACGTGTGCTGTACTTACAGGGAATGATAGGAAGCTACATATCCAAAGCTTTTTTCTCATGTCCCTTGACAATATGTTATTTGACCTTTCCACCCTAATATATGTTTTATTCTTTGTTTTGATTCATATTGACTTTGTCTGCAACTAGGCAAGGGAAAGGAAAATGTGGAGGCTATTTTAAAAAATTATCTTGTTGAGAGTTAGAAGATACTGAATGTCTTAACCATTGTGGGGAAGTGTTTTGGCATCACCATTTGGCACAAGACTGAATTGACCAAGAGGTCAATTCTCAAGATATGCATTTCCCTTCTCCTTCCTTCCTCTCCATTCCTGCATTTTATGCACAGCAGCATGGTCTCATTGGAAGAGAAAATAGAGCTGAGAACTAAAGTCTGATCCTAGCTCCACTTACTATGTGAATGTTATCTCTAATAAATACTTAAGCACCTTTACATTTTTGACCTATCCACATAACTGCTTTATTCTTCTACTGCCTTGTATTTTTTATGAACTTTATTGAGGTAAAGTTTATATACAATAAATCACATCCATTCAAAATGCACACTAGGATGATTTTCACCTGATCCACATACCCATGAAAGCACCACCACAGTCAAAAAATGGAACACAGTGTTAAAATACTTGGTATTGTCAGATTGGTTTGGTTTGGTTTTGTTGACCAATTTATTCTAGTTATTTGTTCTAGTCATATGTAGTATCTTGTTATGGCTTACTTTGTATTCTCCACTGACTAAAGAAATTGAGCATCTTTTCATATGTTTATTGGTCATTTATGAAATAGTCAATCTTATGCTCATTTTCTTTAAAATTGCCGGTCTTACAAGTACAGAATTTTAGGAATACTTTATGTATTCTATATACAAACCTTTTCATTTGAAAATATTTTCTCCCAATTTAAGGCTTATGTTTTTATGTCTATTAACTGCACCTTTGGGAAAGCAAATGATTTTATTTTGCTGAAATCCATTCTAGTATTACTTTTCCTTATGCTTTTTGTGTTGTTTAATAAATGCTTGCCTTAAACCTGTGTCACAAAGATTTGTTTCCTCTGTTTTCTACCAGAAGTTTTAGAGTCTAAGATTTCACATTTTGGTCTACCCATGATCCATTACAAGTTAATTTTTTGTGTATAATATGAGGTAAGAATTGATGTAGATTTTTTTTTCTTCCATATGGAAAGACCACTTCATCAAAAGACTCTCCCCATCCACTGCCTTGGTGCCTTTGTCAAAAATCAATTGACTGTAGAGGTGTAGATCTATTGGAGGTCTCTCTTCTGCCCCATTGAGCCATATACTTATCCTCATGTTTATGTCACACTGTGCTGATTACTGGAAATTTGTAGGAAATCTTTAAATTAAGTCATGTATGTCCCATGAGTTCATTCTTTTTTAATTATATGGACTATTCTAAATCCTTTACATCCACATAAATTTTAATATCAGTTTGTCAACTTCTGGGAATTTTGATTGGAGTTGAATTGAATCTATTTATCAGTTGGAGGGGGAATTGATATCTTAAAATTGTTGAGTCTAAATCCTTTATAGAACAGCAAATATCCACAGGTCTCAGAGAACATTGAGATACATACCATCTAAATTCATTCCTTCTTAGATTTTTAATTAAAAAGAATGTTCAGTTAACTCTTTTAAAGATAGAGATTGTTTGTCTATTCAACAAACATTACAGCAGATCCAAGAGCAAAATAATCTGTAAAGTTGGGCATCTGGCCCCCAAAAATGCCCTCTCAAATCACTACACTGGTGTTGCTAAATCTAGCAGTTCTTGCCTAAGAATTTCCACAGGTGTCCATTTGCATGTATGAAATTCCTCCTGCCACATCAGTTTTTAAGCAAGTTGTGTCAGGTTTCAAGTCCAATTTGTGGACATTAGTTTCTGACTGTCCCCATAGAAGAGGTAGTCATTTTTCAAAATTTCCAACCATTCCTACAGATTAAAGAATTAGAAAATAAGCAAAATTTAAAGTATGATCTACTGGTCCAAGCCCATATTATACAATGCTCTGGCTTATAAAACATCTTATTGAGCTTGAAATGTCATTCAGTGGTAGAACATTTGCTTAAGATGTGTAAAGTCCTGGGTTTGATTCCCAGAATGAAAAATATCTTATTTAATATCCTTGCTTCAGTTGTCTTCCTCATGAAATTTATATGATATATTTATTAGCCTGTTTTTCATTCCTGGGACCAAATGACTAACATACAAAAGTTTAGATCACAGTTTCAAGGTTTCAGTCCATGGTCTCCTGGCTCCAAGCAGAAACATCATAGTAGAAGTATTCAGTGGAGAAAATCTGCCTATTTCATAGCATCGGGGAAGCAGGGAGAACAAGAAGAGTCTGAGAGGAAGGCCCCAGGGTCCTGATAAAGTTCCAAGGCCAAGCCCCCATGCCCCACCCAGACACACCCAGACGTGAGCTTTACTAATCTCCTAGGCATCTCTCATGTCAATTAAATTGACAATCAAGATTAAACATCACAATATAATACTGATTGGAAACTCATCTTCTAAACCCTACTTGCATCATGTTTCCCCAAATTCTCAAATCCCATCCTTGCACTTGGCTTTTCAGGTTCCACTACAAAACATCTATTTGCTCTTAGGGTCACCACTCTAACTGGTCACTCTTCCCTGATATGGCCCTTCACAGGCTTGTACTGAAGCATGGAGTCCACGCAGTCCCTCACCTGACATGACTACCTCTGGGCCCACTGAACCACGGCTGTCACCCTACTCAGCTCCCACACACATGGAAAGCTGATGTACAGCTGTCCCTTGGTTCATTCAGCTCCCCACCTGGAATGTCTCCACCACCTCACTCCCCTCCACCTTCTCAGCAGGCAGACACCCCATCCCATTGCAAAGATAACTACTGATCCCTTAAGTACTCACTCTCCCCTCCTCTTTTATATCCCACATTTTAACATCTTCATGTTTTTATGTTTATCTCCCCTAGAAAACTATAATTTTTTTTGGTACCTTGAACTTGGGACCTTGCACTTGCAAAGCAGGCGACAGAACCACTGAGCTAAATCCCCAACCCAACTATAACTTTTTTTAAAGGTGTCATTCCTCTTTGTACTCTCCAGTACCAAAAAACTTTCTGGCACATGTCAAATGTTCATTATGTGCTTGTTGAACTAATGAAAGAACAAACACATTAACATGTGCTCTTAAATTCAACCAAGCAAATATGACAGTACTTCCCTGCACATAATTAATCTACTTACACCTCCTGTGTAAGACCTGAATATATGTTTTTAAACCTATGTTTTATATAAAACTTGCTCCAAATGAGAACCTGCTTTCCACCATTTCTTTCAAAATTTACCAGAAGTTTTATAACTTAACCCTTTCCCTTGGGTCCTTCTTTTCTGCCACAATATAGATTTCACTTCACTCAGAAGCAGGTTTAAGGCTTTATCTTCCTTTCACTTTAAGCATTTATTTAGTTACTTCCTTGTGCCAGATACTAAACTAGATGGGGGGGGTTGTTTTTTAATTTACTGCTAATTTGTTTAATTCTCACAA